ACAGCTGATAAATGTTTTCCTTAAGAAACAAAATAAAGTAAAGATGGCTTTTGTGGAAATATTAGCAAATGATATTTAGAACCCTTTACTTTACCCAGTGTCCAACATTAGAGCAACAACAACAACAAAAAAAAAAAAAAAAAAAAAGGCTGTGGAAGTGGCTGTTAAGTGTGTTGTTGCTATTATAATTGCAGACAGGCTTCCGTTTGTTCAGTTCGTGTTGTTCTCACTGCTGACTGGGTGGGACTAGTGTTAGCTTTTAGGGTGCCAAGCCAGTGCCTCTGGTGTGAGATGATGGACCAGGCCTTGGCTAGACAGCCTCAAATGCACACAGTGCCCACTGCAGAATGCCCATGGGATTAGCACTGGTGATGGCATTGGAGGATGAGAATAAGAACTACAGATGGGAGCTAAGGGGAAATTTGAGTTCTGGAGAGAATCTGTGGGGTCCTCAGACTTGTAGGGAGGTGGTTAGAGAAGGGTCAGGGCTTTGTCCCTTTTCCCCTTCATATGCAGCTTCTTAGATGTCTGTGATTGAAGGTGGGATCTGCACAGGTTGGAGAGCACCCAGGCTCCTGCCGCACAGGCCTCTTCATTACTCCCAAGTCCCTTGCAAAGAATTCCACAAGTTGCAAATGCCACCTTTTTTCCTGTTTCCAGAGGACTTGTAATCTGGCCTTTTGTCTCTCCTGTGTGGGTGATAAAGTGACCCCACTTCCTGCTCCCTTTGTCTGTGTAAGTCGATGGCACTGAGGCTAACCACAGGTACCTTTGTGCTAGTCCTCAAAAGAAAGGCTCTAAGGCCTGTGATCAGGAAGGTCTGGGTCAGCTCTGCTTCTTCCAGCTTCTTCACCTCCAACCCTGAAAGCACAAGTGTGACCAGCCGTGGAACAGATGAGCTTCATGGGTCACATTTAGAGGAGCCTGTTGGACCAAACCCAACCCCGATTATCACTGCCCTGGGGTTTTCACCCTCACTATGTCCGTGTAGGGATGGTGAAAGCCAATGAAGAGGCTTCAGGAAGGGCAGTAGGTGCCCACCAGGCGTCCCAAAAGGAACTGTTCTTGGGAGAGCCCATGCCCAGGGTCAGTGCCCCCACTTGAGGGTCCCTTTCCTTTCTGGGAAGGTCCTGTGTGGCTGAGTTGCTTAAGGTCTCTTTGTCAACAGTGTAGAAGAGCATTTCTGGACTTGGGCAGAGGTGGAAGTGAGGGAGAGGCTCCCCCAGTCTGTTTCTTGTAGAAATAATAACTAAGAGTTTTGAAGAGAACTGGAAAGTCTCCGCAAGTATCCCTGGACAACCATGAGAGCAGGAGTCTGGCTGGGTCGGCATTCTCTCCTGCTGTTCATCCATTCTCTTCTCTGTTTCTCACATAAGCAAGAGGATTAGTAATGTGCCAGGTGCCTGGATATTCTCTGGGGCAGCCTGCACTGACCATCACAGCCTCAAGAAGTCACTGTCCAAGAGAGCCACGCCCACAGATGCACAGATGTGCCCTAGACTTCTGCTATGATTACAGGAGAGAAGTTGATGCTTCTCACAGGAGGTCTGAGAAAATGGGAATGTTCACTTAAAGGAAGCAGAAGCCCTGCATAGCGCTATGTGCTTGTAATCCTGGCTCTTGGGACACTGAGGCAGGAAGACTGCTTGGAGTTTGAGGCCAGACTGGGCTCTATAGAGATTTCCAGCCCACGCTGGGATGGGAGTAGGACCCTGTCTCTAAAAACCAGAAAGGGAAAAAGAAAGGAAAAGAAGTAAAGGCTTTCTGAATGAGTAGGTTCCGGCTCACTCTGTAACATTCTTCTTACAAGGGCCATTCCCCAATCCCCAGGCCAAGTAAGGTGTCTTCTCTGTACGGCCTCAAGCCCAATCCGTTCCTAACTCACTGCAGACTGTAACTCCATTTGTGATTTCTCTCTTCCTGGGCAGAGCCCTGCAAAGGAACATTCACCGCTCCCCCTGCCCGCCCCACAGACAGACAGCGATGGTATTTGCTGTCAGGGAAGGCAGGTGGGCCCAATACAAACGGACTTCTTGGGGGAGTGATACTGAGGGGATGTGTGGAGTGCTTTGCTCTTCCCACCAGGAAGGTGGGCCCCACCTCAGCCCTGAGCCTTCCTGCCCCAGCTCACCTTATCTTGCTGAAGAAAGCGGCCTGTGTTCCTTCCCATCTGTGAGCAGGTGAAGCGCGTCAGGCAGAGCTGTGGGCAGCTCTCTGACCCTAGTCCATTAGGCGCTTGATACTAAAGTGAGTTCTCATGACATGAGCCAAAGCCATACCAGCTTCCTCTCTAAAACAACAGCCTGCAGCTCTTCCAAAGCTGAGGTTCTGTCTGAGCTCACTTCTTCTAAGCACAGCCAGAAATTCCTGTTGCACAACACAGACTACTGAAGTCAGCACACCAAAGCTGGGGTCCGGGGTGCTTAGAGAAAGACAAGACAGAGTCCCCATCACTGCTGTTTTTACCATGTCAGTTTATAGTTTGTTCTCAGTCATTTCTAGAAGAAAACCCATCTGGAACTCGGAGCCTTACCGTCCCGCTCCTGAGCCCTCCTGCCTCCCCTCACTAATGCCCTGTGTCTCTTGCCACAGTGAGTTCTTCTTGACAAAACACTTGCTCTTGTCATACCACCCCATGCTGTGGCTGTCATTACTGCATATCATACTCTGCTCAAGGCCTGTAGGGCCAAAGCAGCTCATGTGCTCTACTAGGGCCTTCCCAAATGTGGCCTTAAGGTCACCCTGTGCCCCGAACATCTCTGCCACCTGAGATCTCTGTGACTACAGAGTTGGCTGTGTTTTCCCATCAAAACACAAAGAAGCCTCCATCCATCACCGTTTTCTCCTTCAGCCACACTTGGGTGGCCCAGCCTTGACTCCCTGCCTTCTAGTTCCCAAGAGGACCCCCTGTTGAGATAAGTGTCCTTTGTTTGTCTCTGAAATGGGTACCAGGACTCTTATCTTAATGAACTAGAAAGTGCCTCTGTGGTTATTTCCATTAACCTCTCCCATGGGTATCCCTCATGTGGGAAAGGTTCTGCTGGGCACCCTGTGTAGCAACAGTTTCCTAAAGGATGTATTTGGTTGGACATAATACTGGCCCAACTGATATAACTGTATCCCTCCCCTCTGTGAAATGCTTCTAAGAAGCCCCTACAGCCCATGTTGATGCCTGAAGCCTCAGGTCACACCATTCCCTGCCACACCCTTGTCTGGAAAGCTTCTGAGATTAATTGCTAAGTGCTTAATGGGAGGGTAGCACAGACATGGTGGACACACGGGGCAAAGCGATGGTTCACACCCTAGGTGAGGTGTAACAGACTCTGAGACGTCATTCCCTACTCAGAATCACACACAGTTCAAAAACTGGAGGTACAACTCAGCAGTTAAGAGCACCAGCTGTTCTTCCAGAGAACTTTGGTTTGAATCTTAGCACCCAAATAGCAGCTCATACTATCTGTAACTTCTCACGACCAGCTGGAACTCCAGTCCCAGGGCCTCTGATGGCCCCCTAGCCTCTGTGCATGTACAGGCACTCAAAACATAGATGCAGACAGACAAACAGACAAAACACCCATACACATAAAATAAAATAAATTAGTTGTGTCTGTAGTTTTTCCACTTAACATTTCTGGACTGCAGTTGACAGATGGGAACTGAAGCCTTGGGCAAAAGGTGCTGCTCTAAACGTCCATGTTGGTAAGGTGATGGTGGTGACATCAGGCTGGGCTTGTGTAGTCAAGAATAAGACCATTGCTCTGCCATGACACATTCATGGGTGCCCAGCGCGCTGCTCTCTTTCCCCTCTGCCTCCTCACCATGCCCTAAAGAGACTCCACTCGTTATCCTAGTTTCCAGGTGCCTCTCTCGCCCACTCTTGGAACTGTTTCCCCCACTCCAGCCCACTGTTTCAGATATATTGGGGCTATTCCCAGGATCAGAGGATGTTTGGCATCCAGTTAGCGGGGTCATGGCCTGACTCTGACAGGAAGGCCTTCTGAGCAGTCCTGTCACCTGTATGGCATTGTCCTGTTGCCAGCCCAGTTCACACACTGCCTTAATACCTGCTACTTAATCTCTTCGTTCTGGGCTCAGGGGGGCGGTGTCCTGGAAGCCCACCGGTGAAGAAGGTACACAGGTAGAAGCCAGAATCTCAGCAGTGGCCCAGAGGTGGGCCCAGGTCTGTATCAGCGTGAGCAGGTGTACTAGCCGCCCCACAGGGAATCAAAGCTGACCCAGGAGGGAAGGCCAGCAAGCTTGGATGGACTTCAGGCGGCGGCACCGTTCCCGAGCAGCGGTTGTGGATCCCGACCCCGGGCAGGACTAGACTCAGTACTGACTTTCTGATGTCACAGTGCGGGAAGCGTGAGGGGGCGGGAGCCCCGAGCAGACCCACTAAGGGCCTGCAGCAGCACAGCCCTCCCTACCTTCAGCATGAGCAATCTCTGCCCGAGGCAGAGGAGCATCTTAGAGGACCCCCTCCTCCCTGTTTGCCTACCAGGCTGAGTGCAACAGAGAGGAGAGCAAGAAAGTGTCCTGGGTAGTTGTATGTCAGGTGAACACAGCTAGGATAATCTGGGAAGAGGAACCACAACTGAGAAAATGCCTCCGCCAGGCTGGCTGTGGGTAGCTCTGTTGGGGCATTTTTAAATTATTATTGATGATGAATACGGTAGGGCCCAGCCTGTTGGGAGCTTATATATAAGCTCCTGGGTAATATCAGAAAGCAGGCTGAACAAGCCCCTAAGCGCTGTTCCGTGGTCTCCTTCAGTTCCTGCCCCAACCTCTAACCTAAGAGTTGTAAACAAAAACTAGACCCTTTCTTCCTACGGTTGCCTTTGGTGTTGGTCACAGCACTAGAAAGCACACAGAGATGGAGGACTGAGACATGAGTTGCTGGTCACAGGCCTGGGAAGTTCACTTTGCAGCCGGTAAGAGGCCCCTCTTTGGAAATCCCCACCGGCACCTGACTGCCTCCCTCTCTCCCCTCCTTTTCACAGGAGCGCTTCTTCTGGGCGGGATCCTATACTCCTGGCAGTTCCCCCACTTCAACGCGCTGAGCTGGGGCCTCCGTGAGGACTACTCCCGAGGAGGATACTGCATGATGTCCGTCACCCACCCGGCCCTCTGCCGCCGCGTGGCCCTGCGCCACTGCCTGGCCCTGATTGCCCTGTCCGCTGCCGCCCCCGTTCTGGACATCACCACGTGGGCCTTCCCCATCATCTCCCTCCCCATCAACCTGTACATCTCCTACCTCGGCTTCCGCTTCTACGTGGACGCGGACCGCAGGAGCTCGAGGAAACTCTTCTTCTGCAGCTTGTGGCACCTGCCACTGCTCCTGCTTCTCATGCTCACCTGTAAGCAGCGGCCAGGTCAGGAGGAGGCCAAGGGAGAGGCTCCAAGCTGAGAGCCAGCCGGTGCTCGGGGGACACATGGGCAGACACCTGCAGACGCGCAGACGCGCGCACAGCACTGTGGACGCGCACACAGCACTGCCCTGCGCCAGTCGGAGGCGTGTTTTGGTGGTTCTGGCACGAAAAAGGAGAAACAGGTGGCGTCGGCTGGAGGCAGACCACCTGGTGCTGAGTCATCACCTGACAGTCTTTCATGTTAACACTCAAACTGCCTCCCAGGTAAGACAGGGTCTGACGTAGTGGGTTGATACGACAAAAGAACATTTTTTTTTCTTGAAGGTCTTTCTGCATCCTTCCCTGCAGCCCTGTGTTCTTACACACATAATGTATATGCACATCCCCCAGCACACACACACATTTACCACCTGAAGGCCACCGTGTCCATTGGTCAAACAGGTGTGTGTAACCCATCCTCTGTAGCTGTATATCCTGAGGCTCCCACAGGCCTCAGAAGAACACATACTGTGCCACAGCATCCCCCTTCTCTGCCAGTGAGATGGGGCCTGGCTAGCTTTCTCTACCCCACCAGTATTCTCAAGCACCTACTCCTTCAAGCAACAGAACACCCAGCATGGGCTGCTCATGGGGAATGAGGATTCCAAACGGTTCCTAGAGAATCTCAGGCTGTACTTCGGCATCTAACCATTGCCCCCGCCCACCCCACGTCAGGACTCCAGAAACCCAGGAAGTACAGGGCGCCCTCACTATTAAAATACAGGCGTGGTCTAAGCACTTCTTTCTGGGAGGGCAGCACTGGGCATAATCCCAGGCCCCTTCCGGCACTGAGCCCACCACAGCACCACCATAGTGTGCTGTGGCTCTCAGGACTTTCTGATGGCCGTCTCAGGACGGAATGGGAGACAGAGGGAGCTGGGTCAGCAGCCATGTTTGTGCCCCATCCTATCCCTTTTGTGCAAACCACATTTCCACTCTAGTGCCTCCTGAGTCCAGAAATTCGCCTGTGTGTCCAGTGGTGTTCCCATAGGGCCAGCTGGGCTCCTGGTGGCCACAGGTCCAGCTCTGGGAACTCATGGCCTCTGATACAAAGGACAGGCACCTCTAAGTCTTCAGTCTGTTTTGTCCTTCCCCAGCTCCACAGAGAGGCCTGTTGCCTTAAAGTTGTGGAGCGTGGCAGGGTGTTTCTTCCCCGCCTCTCAGGGTGCTGGCCCTGTCTGGATGCCCTCAGGTGGTTTAAGCCACATGAAAACAGTTCTTGAACTTGAACTCTTCTCTCAAAAATGTAGAAGGCTTGGACCGTGGCCCAGAGGGGCAAAGTGCTTGCTTAGCCATGCTCTGGGCTCAGGGTTTGAACTCAAGCATCACAAAAAAAAAGGGTGGGGGGTGGGAGGTGGCATCTAGAGGGACTGCAGACCAGCGTGCCTGGTACCTCTTGCTACCTATTGTAACATTACCTCCTTCCTGGCAGTTTCCTGTGGGAACAGGGACCTGGGTGTCTGTAAAGTGTGTTGGTTCTCCTCCTGCAATAAAACAGTTATAAGAACAGGAGCGTGTGTCCTGGGTCACTCTGTCATCCCAAGCCCACAGGGTTCAGCACGGCGCCCTCCTCCAGGAGCCAGCAGTGCCTACAGCCTGCGGGTACTTCCTTCTTTCATGTTTCCTAACTGTAAATTGACAAATTAGACTTGTATCTTTTTGTAGAGCATAGAGGGACATGATTTTATGAACCCAAGGTTGAGATAGTTAGCATAACCATTGTCTCAAATTGTCATCACTGTATGGTAAGGATATTTGAAATTTGGTGATTTTGTTTTTGAAATGTATAACATGTTATATTTTTTTTACTGTATTTACCACACCATGCAATATATAAATAAATAAATAAATAAATAAATAAATAAATAAGTAAATAAATAAATAAATAGGTAATGCCCCTCCCTCCCTGTCTGGCCATCATCTCCCCTACCTCAGCCGTAGCCAGCCAGCCAGCCATGCTTCTGATATGGGTTTAAAGGGCTTTTATTTTCTTTTGGTGTGGTTTTGTTGTGATGGTAGTTTTGAGGCAGGGTCTCCTGTGGCCTAGGGGTGATCCTGAATTCCTGATGTGTGACTGCCTCGCACGTGCTGGGATTGCAGTTGTACAGTACCACAGCAGCTGCATCTTGAGAGCCCGCATGGAAATGAGGTTCCGTAGTGGTAGTCTTTCCAAGCCTGGCCTACTTCACTTAGCAGAAGGCCCCTTGCTTCTGTCCGAACTGTTGCAGATGACAAAATTTCACTGTTTTGGTGTAACTACTCTGCTGTAGGTATGGAACACATTATCTGTTAATCGCTGCTATTACCATTTGGATCTGGGATGTCATCCAAAAACCATGACTGCTTGATCCCCAGGCTAGGGTGTGGGGTGATGGAGCCTGTAAGATGCTGGGCCTGTAGGATGTCTTCTGGCTTTTGGGAGCCCAGGAAGGGTTGGTGGGACCCCAGTGCCTTCCTGCTAGTCACTTCCCTGGGTATAAGGTAGCAGCATTCATCTGCCACATACTCTCATCAGGACCAGCTGCCTTTACCTGGCCTGAGAACCGCAACACTGCGGGCTAAATGCCTCAGTCACAGTTCTTACGGTCAGGAACGCTAACATGCATCTTCATGCCAAGCATTTGCTCAACACCATCCAGTCTCTCCCAGCTGCCTTCAAACCATCACTGATAATCTTCCATAGGGCCTCTTCATCCTGTCCTCCTACTCAGCTGGCAAACTTCCCTGAGGGCTCCCTCTGCTCAAGGTGTCCCCACTCACCAGACACCGTGGCTCCCACAGATGTCAGGGCTCCTGCATGGCCCCTCTTCCCGGGCACTCTGCTTTCAGATGTTCTGCAATCCAGTCTCCTAAAATTCCCACCCACTAGAGACCTCTCTCAGTCCCAGAACACATGAACAGTAAGGCCTCAAGGGACTCAGACTAAAACCTGAAAGGCTGGGCTTTCAGAAGCAAGTATTCCCCTATTTTTCTAGGCCCAGAACCTTCCTGTGATTACAGTCCCTAGTCCTGGAGCCACAGAGCTGTAGTGTGTGATGCTGACAGAGGCAGGTACCACCCAGTGTGAAAGGACTTGTACTACAAGGCAAAATTGCACTTATTTTTTATTCTGTACCTTGGCATATTAATGACAACAGAGGGGGATGTGCCTGGTCCCTTTCCTGGCAGAAGTCTCCCCCTTGCAATACGTGGACTTAGGGTTTGGAGCTTCATTGCAGTGTGGAAATAGTGCACACTAAATAGAACCATACAGAGAAGCTTGAATCTTGAGCCTTTCCAAGGCTGCCAGTGTGCAGTCAGATACTTTTTCAGGACACTGGGCAGTGGCAGCAAGCCATGATTCAGGTCAGGCACAAGCCTGTAGGGAAACCAGACACTGCTGATTCTGTGATATTGTCACAAGAAGTGTGGGGAGATCCCATGCATTTTCAACTTACAGTTTTTCTAGCTTATTTACGAGGAGTTTATGGAAGCACAATCGCATTGTAAGCTGAGCAGAATTTATATATTTAATGAGTGTGTGTGTTCGTGTACGTGTGATGTGTTTGGGAGGACACCCAAACACAGCAGAGGACAGCATCAGATCCCTAAAGCTGAGGTCCTCTGGAAGAGCAGATATGCTGTTAACCACTGGGCCATCTCTCCAGTTCTTCTGTACTCCTTTGACTGAGAAAATCTGACAACTTACTTTTGTCTTAATAAACCCATCTATGAAGAGTAAAACAGAATCTTGGGCAAGAGAGATGGTTCTGTGGGTAAAGTGTCTGCCTGTTCACACGCAGGAAGACTTTAGTTTGGATTCCCAATAAGCCATGTAAAGCGGTGTTACTACAAGACGGGACTCGACTACAGAAGCTTGCAGGCCAGGCCAGTGTGCACAGTGGTTAGTAACGAGGAGGAAGGTGGAGACCAATACCTGACTCGCACACACACGAAATGTTTTCATTCACCAGAAGGTCCATTTTTGAAAGACTAGCCATGAGACGTCAGTTTTTCTTTTCAAACATAAAAATGGGATATTAAAATATATGGCATATAGAAATGGGATATACCCAATAGAAATGCCTATTATTAGAGATTTATTTCATTTTAATTATACATGAATGTCCTTGTCTGTATATGGATATGTGCACATTTGAGTTCAGTTTCCTGAAGAGGCCATAAAAGGCCATCAAATATCCCTGAGCTGGAGTTAAAAAATGGTTGCCCATTTTTGGGAGTTGCCCAACATGGGTGCGGGGATTGAACTTGGGTCCTCTTCAAAGCAGTACATGCGCTTAACTGCTGAGCCATCTTTCCAGCCCCCGCTATGCCTTCCTTATAAAACTTTAAATGTGTGCTAGGGATCCCCGGCAATAATGCTGGCTGCTGGAAGAGGAGTGTGGAGCCATACTGTGCAGTGTTGTCCTGTGCAAGGCTGTGCATCTGCTCATCGCTTCTCTCTTCTACTGTCCGTCAGTCCTCCTCTCTTGCTGGCTTTGCTAACAAACAGCTGGGCCTCTGTACTTTTTTGCCCACTGGAATGCTGGGAACAGAGCAGAGCTTTTCTGCTTGCTGGCCCTGATGTCGCAAACACTTGCTCCTCTGACTTCTGCTAGACCCAAGGCCTCAGTCCTCTGACGCTCGCCCTCTCTTCTCCTCAACACACTTCAAGTGACAAGGCAGTCATGAGGACTGGGCCTCTATGCACTTCCAGCTGCAGAACCCTACAGGAAACAGGTGTTTGAGGGATTTCTAGGGGCAAAGAAAGCAGTCACCTCCCTAGATCTGGGTGAAGAGCTGATTGGGGCTCTGGCCTGGCTCTTTCTCTGCAGTCGAAGCAGCAGATTACCCAGGAAGGAAGATTCCCCACCCTTCCATTAGTGGCACACTCCCTCTGAATATCTGCTACACTCAATGGAGTCAGCCAAGCAGGCTGATAGGTTATCTCCACAGGCAAAATGATCCAATTCAAGCCAAATTGGAGTCTACAAATACAGATTTATTGGGGAAAGCTCTTGGGTGGGTCCACCAGTCCCAAGGAATGAGGCCAGGGAAGTCACCATGCAAAGGCAGACAAAAAAGGCTAGGGAAAAGAGAAAGTTCTCTCACAGAAAGAAGGAGGGGAGATGCAAAGAGAGAGACCAAAATGTCTGTACTGTACAGGGAAGAGCTGCTGGGGGAGGAGAATTCCAGTCCCTGGCCTGGAGAGGTCATAGCAGAGAAGAGTGCTATGCTTACCATCTCCCAGGAATGCTGGGAGAACCTGGAGGCCACGTCTGCTTCGGATAAAAAAAGCACATCAGCTGCTTGTCCCTGATCTGAATCCCAACATAGGCAACAAGACACATTTCAAGGAGGGAATAAGCAGGGCCCAGAAAGCCACTTGGACATCTGACACACTATTTTGGCCTTTGCCCACCAGCCATGAAGCCTTTTAAATACAATTATATCTAAGCTGCTTCCTAGAGGGGCATTGAAGATCGCCTTGTAATCCCAAATGTAAGTAGCCTCAGGCCAAGCAGATTACGCTCCCAGCATCTTCTAGCCACAGTTTCCCAATCAGCTCTAAGAAATGAAGATACGATCTGGGTCAAAGAGCTTGTAATAATCACTTCTGATGTCAGGTTCAGAACATAGGAGAGGCAACGCATCTGACGCTGAGCTTACTTTCTGATTGACTGGCCTGGTCATACGATAGCGTGGTACCCGTCACCAACTTACAGACACATCTCAAGCTTCATAATGCATCTTCCTTACACCCTCACCCATGTCTAGGCTTTTTCACCTGGCAACCAGAATAATCCTGACACCTCGGTCACCATGTCTCAGTGCTCCGACCTGCACACGGGCAGGGGATGGAGAGATCATTCATGGCGGCATATAATGCACAGAGATCTCATCTCGGCTGCCAGGCCCACATGATCTGACTGTTAGTATTTATTTAAAAATGATGCCACGCACACAACAGCTATTATAAGAAAGAGATTTATTGGATGGAGGTGGAGAGATAGAGAGGAAGAGGAAAAGGAAAGAGAGAGACATGGTGGGGCCTCCCAGGAAAGAAAGGAGGAGAGGAAAGAAATCAAGAGAAGGAAAGAGAGGAGAGTAAGACAGCACAAGAGAGACAAAGTAGCAGGTTGGTCCTTTTATAGCCTATGCAGGTGCAGCTGAACTGTGTCTGCCACACCCATGGTGGTTGACACATGATGATGTCATAGGTTACTAGGCAACCCAGAAGCATGTTGCCTATATGCTAACACTGACCCTTCTCCATCCCAAAACTACCCTTCATCCATGCCTTCCAGTTCACTCCTCCTCCTCCTGGGCTTTCCCACCTCCTTTTCATTCATCTCATGAGTCCCCTCCTAATTTCAGTAAAATGACACCTTAGGTAGGCACTCCTTGCTCCTTTTATCAAGCACCACCCAGCCCCAGTCCAGCTCTAATTGCTTCTCCATGCACCCAGTATCTTCTTCCTAACACCGATCCCTGGTAAACGTGGCTGATGTAGCTCATGATCTCTTTTGTGTCCTCTTAGAGCATAAACACAAAGGTCTACATCACTCTACCTCCAGTGGGGAAAACACTCAACTTACAGAAAACTAATATCCCCCCCCCACCCCCGACTGACTCACTCTACCACTGGGCTGTATCATGAACTCATATCTACTTTTTACTTTGAGATAGCATCTCATCAGGTTGCCCAAGGTAGCCTTGAGCTCACTCTAGCCCACATTATCCTGAACTGTGTGAACTTGTCTCTGCCTGGGATTACAGCCTGCAGCACTAGGCCTGACCACCAGATTTGAGGCCCCTCACCTCCAGAGTGC